CTGAAGGCGACTCTGCTGCAGGGCTTGCATCAAAGGCAACAGCTGGCAACGGGGCGGACTGCATGACTACATGTTGTACACAGCGTGCAATGGTTGGATCAAGGGGGGAGGAAGCTGTGACACATAGCTGAGCATGGCCAGCACTGATGCATTGTAAAAGCGTGCGGTGGCAGTGCTGCCACTCTGCCCATGCTGAGCTGGATTACCCCGCTGCCACTATTTTTGCCCGGGGGCGAGCCTTAGACAGACCAATGAGGCCTCGGGCCCGAGAAAAGAGCCCAGGAGCTTGGCCCGCCCCTCAACCGAAGAGCAATCCCAGGGAGGACCGAGAGCGGCCAGGAGCGCCTCCGGGAGGGCGACGGTGGCTGGGGACGCGTCGAGCCAGAAAGGCGCGGAAAACAAACAGGTCCGCGGTTTCGCAGAAAGGGGCGCATGCTCCTCCGCAGCGGCAAACAGGGTGGTCACTAGGCTCAACGTGTCGATCGGGTTCGCTGGCAAATCGATGTCCAGGCTCGGCGTGCCGTTCGGGGACTTCACCACAAATGCAGCGAGGCGGCGGTTGATCCCATGGCTATCAGCCAGATCATATCTGATGCACGGCAACGCTGCACCACTCCAGAGCCGATTGAGGACGCGTCGTGGCGCTCTTCGTTGAACTTGACGTAGCTGGCTGGCGCGAAGTGCATGGCATGGAAGAGGTCACGTTGCCCGAGAGGACAAGGCTGGCGACGAGAAGCTTGGAGTCTGTGGCGACTGGCAGCCACCCAGCGCGGCACTTCACGGCGTCGCACGGGTCGATGAGCTTGAGGACGTTGCGCCCCTGGGAGAAGCCTTGCTGGGTGATGCGCCTGCGCATTGCCACGGCGCCCCTGACCCAGAGATTAGCGGCACCTGCGATGGCTCTGGTGCCCATGTTCTCAGCGAGAGCGGGTGGGCGCCCGCGGACACGCTGTCATTGGTGAGCTCGCCCCGCGCGTTATCGCCCTCCGGCGGGAAGGCAGGGGCGCGGTCGTTCAGGCCGCGGACGCAGCACTGGCCCGAGGAGAAGAGGGAGGAGAGAACATCAGACATCTGACGCGAGGTTTCGCGCAAGAGCCAGACGCAGCACGGCAGAGAGACTGCGCCAGGCGCAGGCGAGGGCGCGCTGCTCAGGAGGGCCTGTGGCTGCGGACTGGTTGGCGCCCCGACGTCAACGGGGGCGCCCTTCGACTTATGCGCGAGGCTGTAGTCGGCGATGTTGACAATGATGGGACGCTGCGCATCGACGACGGGATGCCTGCGATCGCGCTGCGCGGCAGCGATGGGCCCGGAGCCAGGGTGCATCTGGATGGCCTGGTTGACGATGGGAATGTGACTGCAGAACGGGGAAGTGTCGTCGGCGATCGAGAGGGACTTCGCGCACTGGGCGGTGGTGGCGGGGACGCGATGCGCGTTTTGAGGAACTCGTCTCCAGGCGGCTCTGGAGATGGCGCGCGTGATGAGGGCGCCCCCAGCTCGGAGGCCCGACTTGTTGATGTCACCAATGAACTTGCAGGCCCAATCGCAGCGAACCAGCAGGGCAGCTTCAGGCATGAGCCTCGTGCGCGAGTGCCAGCGGGCACCCATGCAGGCGTAGTTAGTTGTCCTTCGCGGCATCAAGCAGCTGCAAGAAGTCGGCGGCGTAGTTCGGGTCGCGGGCGATTGACGGATGGATGACTTGCTCGGTCAGCGGCAGACGCGGCTCAATCCCAACGGTGAAGAACGGAGCATCGGAGAGCGACCGGGGGGCGGGCTGCGCGACAAGCGGCTGGCGTGTCTTGATTCCAAAGGTGAATGATATGATTGCGCGGATGCTGGCGCGGTCGCCCGAGCGAAGCGCATTGTCGCATGCGCCCTTAGTGATGGCGGTGAACTCGACCGAGGTGGGCATGAGAAGAGGGCGCTGTTCGGAGCTGTACCACTGGCAAGGACCACCTCGAAAGCACCGTGCACCTGAATGACTCTTGTTAGTTGGCACGGGGCCGAACACGATGAAGCAACGTGGATGCGCGGCACGATGCGCGACGCAGCGATGCGGATACTCGGCGTGGGGCCCAAGACGATCTGGGAGCTCGGGAAAAAGCAAAAAGGTACGCATGGCGGCTAGCAACTGAGGAATACTCAGCAGGAGTGGACGGCAGCTCGATCTTGGGCACGGCAGCGACAATGAAGTCGGCGCGGTTGGCATTCATGATGACCAGGGGCGCGCTCGCGATAGCGCGCAGGAACGTGGGCAGAACGACGCGCGCGGGGTCGAGCTTGAAGTGGGCGAGGCCGTAGACTTCCAGGGGCGTGATATTGTGCTTGCGTTCGATGTACTTGGCGGCGGCCAGTTTGAGGGCGTGACGTCTGCCCTTGAAGGGCGCGCTGTCACGCGCGCTCTCTGGGGAGATGGCGGCCGGCACCGCAGCGGCGTCAACCTGCTGAGGAGCTCGGCGAGAGCTATGCGCGCCAGGTAGCTGACTCCGCATCGGCAAAGGGCGCCTGGAAGGAGGTGAGGACACTGCCTCGGTCGATGGACTGGCCCTGCGGGTTGTCGAAGGCTCCGTCGTTCCATCGGAGGGCGGGGGGGGGGTCTGCCTGGCCGCCGATAGTGATGCTGGCGACGGGCATGGAGTCGCAGTGGATCTCTTCCTCGGCGCGAAAAGCTCTCCACCGCTGACGAGGGTAGCGCTGCTGCAATAACTGAAGGGGCTTCTTGGCCTGGACTTCTGCCCTGATCTGCTTGGGAGACGTGTCGGGGTTGATGTAGATGTCAACTGGCTGACCTGTTGCGTCAGTTGAAGTATACCGCTCCCCTGTCAACTGCATTGCGCACCGCGAGCGAGAGCCCGCGCACGAGGTGCTGCGACAGCACTGCCTCCTTTGACTTGTAGGACGAAACGGCTGGCAGGTTCGCCGTCTCCGAGTAGTTCCATGCGATTAGACTGGAGGTCGGCTTCTGCAATCCATTCCTGGAGGTCGCCGAGCACCACGCTCGGAGCCAGGAGGTGCTGGAGGCCCACAACGGAGAGCGTCGGACTTGGCTGAAGGTCCCATTCGGCAAAACGATTGAGGTCTGCGTTCGGAGTCTGTGCTTCGGCAAGGGCAAGAGCGTCGCGCATCTGGTCGATATGTTGCCACACTCGCTGCTGCTCTGACGCTCGGCGGTCTTGTTCTCTGCGAGTGCGAGCGACTTCGCCATGGAGTACATCCACTCGGCGTTCTGCAGCGGTGACTTGTTGTTGAACGAGAAGGCGGGGACTTTCACGAGATTCAGCGAGGAGCTGATCAGCTTGTTCTTGAAATCGGAAAGCGGCAGCGGCGACTTGTCGATGCATGAGTTCCCGAAGAGCGACGTCGAGGTCTTCGGGTATCCCAGGTAGAGGCCCATGCCGTTCTTGTAGGCATGATGTGGTTCGTGCTGTGATCCAGGAGTAGCGTGTCCAGTGATTGGAGTGGTTGGCGCAGCAGCAGGTTGGGAAGCAAAGGCAAAAACAATTTCGATTTCGCGGGCAAGCTGTTCGGCGGCTGCGGGACCCAGCTGCTGCTCGACGTACTTGGCGCTGGCCCGTAGGTCAACGTCGCCCTGAAGGGAATCATGAATAGCAGGACCAGGTGGTGGCTTCTCGATCTCTTCCATGGCCACGGTGGGGGCTTCGGGCGCTGCACTTCCTCCTGATCTGGCTGACCTACGTGTCAGTGTCGGTGAATGGCGCACAGTACCTCGTCCTGCTGCACGGGGTTGCTGCTGCGGAGCACTTGCAGGGCCTTGACAGCTGAACCCTGTGTTGCCACAGTGTTCCAGGATTCGCGAGCAGCGCGTCGGCCATCTCTACGGGGTTCTTCCCGTCGGTGCTGGCGGTCGTCGTGACGTCGATCGTCGCGGCGAGAATCTTCGTGGCGTTGGTGACGGTCCTCTCGGCGACTGCGGGACGTGGAGCCATTGGATTGGTCGTCCCTGTCCGAAGAAGCGGCGGACACGATGCTGTAGTACTGACAACTGATATCAGAGTGCTGTTCGACGATTCGCCACTGGCCAGGTGCACAGCAGGACCACCGCGTACTTGACTGACTGTCGTTGACTGGATCGGAGCAGCACACGATGGCTCGATATGGGAGCACGGCACTGCGCAAGATGCGGGAATATGGAAGCTCGGAGCTGGGCTCGAGACGGACTGGATGCTCTGCACGAGACACACAGCAATATGAAAGGCGGCCTGCAACGCCGGGATGGAACGCAGGAGTGGACGGCAGCTCGTCCCTGGGTGTGGCTGCAAGACGGCTGGGACTGGCCGCGGACTAGCGGCATCCACGCTGCACTCGCGATGGCGTGCCATCTTGAGCCAAAACGGATACGGACGGAGGAGGACGAGGAGGAGGAGGAGGAGGAAAGGAGCGAGCTCAAGCGACAACCGCGGATTATCCTACAGTCTGCACGCCGAGCGCAGGAAATTTGGGCCGCTGCAGGCCACCATCTACGGACGGCAAGCTCTGACAACTTCAAGTAAGCTGTATCATAAAACTCGCGCGTGCGTAGACCGATCTCCACGGCAAGCGCCGGAGAAGGTACCCGCACCGAGGACCCACACGAGCGGAAAGCAGCGGAGCCAGAGCAAAGCCCCATGCCTAGGCAGAGGAGCTACGCAAAGTGTGCGAGCGAGCGATGCTACAGGCAGGTTGAAACCTGAGGAGAGAATGGCCAAGAGGAGAGGAGGCGAGGAGAGGAGGAGAGGAGGAACTGCGCCGGCACGATGGGGCAGCAGTTCGAGCCCGCTGGGGGCCAACAGCGACTGTACAGGCAAGACGGGGCGAAGCACCCGGCAAATGATATAATACAACAAAGTATAATATACTATGATCAAAATCAACAAATATCGTACATCATAAAACTACACTCTACATAAATCTATATATATATATATGTATAGATCGCTCTCACAGGTTTATCTAACCCTGTCGCCATGGATGAAGCTTGCGTGCGCTATTGACGGATGAAGATGTCGATGTTATACACGGCGCGAAAAAGAACCTCATATGCGCTCTCGGCGGGGCTATGGCTGCCTGAAGCGCGCGAGCGGAAAGCGCATCGAGACTGAAGGGCAAGCTTTGGCACCTGCAATCGGAAACTGCCAATGTGGCTTGAGAAAGAACTGCTGGGCCCCTTGAAGGCGGCGTGATCACTCTAGAAAGATGGCGCCAGTTCGGACTGGGCTCCCAAAAAAGGGCTCCAGACCCTCCAGCTCAGACAGCCATCACCGAACTAGAGAAACAAAAAAAAAAAAAAAAAAAACAGCCTGGCCGCGGCAGACAGCACCGCCAGCGGTGCGGCCTTCCTAACGATAGAAATTGCGTGGGGTGGCTACGTCCTCATTCACGACCGTGCCGCGAGTCACCGAGTAGAGTGCCCACTGGTCCTCGATTGCCCTCAACTCGCGAGCGCTCCCCGGCGCTCTCGGGGTTCGTCGCAGAAGCTGTCCCGAGGCCTCGGGAGCTTGGCTCGAAAATTCTAACTTCCAACATGCCTTGCGAGTGTCTCAGGGACCCGTCCTGGCCAACATCGCCCAAGACCGATCATATTCCGTGCGATTTAGATCTGACCGGCCTCGGTTATTACAGCGTCTGAGACAGCCAAAGATGCTCCCAATACCGACCGAAGACGGCCGCCGAGGTCTCAAAAGGGGTCAAAACGGCGAATTCGAAGGAACCCCAGGAGCCTTCCGCCAAAGACGGCCCCCGACACCGCACCAGGCCCCCGAGAAGCCCTCAAGAGGTTGCAAGAATCCGCCAAGTGGCCCCCAGCATGCCTCAAGAGGCCCCCAAGGGTCCAAGAGAGCTTCAGGAGGCCCCCAAGAGACCTCAAGAGGAGGCACCCAAGAGGCCCCAATGCAAAAACCATTGATACACACCGAGCCTTTGGAGGATTTCACCAACACCGCCTTGCCGATTTTCGTAGCGTCGGCGAAATGCCGGCAAACCACCGAGATCGCCCCGAGATGGCTCAGAATAGCACCAAAAGGCCCCAAGATGGCCCAAAGGCGGTCCAAGAAAGCAAGACGGCCCAAGTGAGCCTCGTGATGGCCCTCAAACGCGCCAAGAGGTCCCCAAAACTGCCCCAAGAGGCCCCCAAGACAGCACAAGAGGGCCACACGGGGCTCCCAACAACGACACACTCTAGCGTCCAGAATGCCTTCTGAGTGTCAAAGAAAGCCAAAGAGGCCCCCAATCCACGACCAGCCAAGGAGGGCCCTGAAGGGCCCCAGGACGGGCTGCAAACAACGCAAAGACGGCCCCAAGAAGGGGCACTAAGGATCCCAGAGAGGGCCCCAAACACGGCCTCGCGAGCCCCGCTCGAGGGATTCCTGGCGGAACAAAACAGCTGTAAGTCGGCCCATGTTGGGACGCACAGAGACACAGAGACACACTAATACTACATGTCCTCATTGGCGGCGCGCATCCAACCCGAAAATGTAGTACACCCATCTTGTAGTATATCGTTTCCCGAGCGGCGTGGCCAGAAAGCGCCCGCCACGACGCATGTAATATAAGATTTCTTGGTGCGCGCGTCGCCCCTGGGGGGGCGACGCACATATAGTATAAGTATGTTGGGGTGGCGCCGACATGTGGCTCCCAGGATGGAGGATGGCCCTGGAGGGCACAAGAACGCCCAAGGAGGAACCAAACAAAAACAGAAGCAGCCGCTCACCAGGGACCCCGCGAGCTCTCCCTGGTAGTCCCGGCAACGCTCCGGGAAAGCGCTCACTCACGGCCGAAGCATGCCACACCCACTGTCGCACAACAAGCGCGCTGCGACTGCCACACTTGGAGGCCTTCAAAGTAGGCTCCACAACTGCCTCGCCGATGCATCGGCGATGCGGCGCGATCCTCCGACCCCATCTGCAACCGAAAAGATGGTTAAGAAAATGTCAGCATGCATGGCCCACAACAATGCAAGTTTAGCCATCTGTGTGGTACTATCTATGTGGTGCAATTGGTTTTTACCCATGATTTGACACATCCCACGCTGTTGCAAACATCCCACCCACCCACCCGCAACTTGGTTTGCAAAACCTCTTAAGACCACGACGACACCGACGACGACGACAACGACGACACCGACGACGACGACGACGTCAACGACGCCGACGACGACGACGACGACGACGGCGGCGACGACGACGACGCCGACGTCAACGACGACGAAGACGACGACGACGCCGACGACGACGACGACGTCGCCAACGAAGACGACGACGAGGGAGGAGGGAGGACGACGACGGCGACAACGACGACAACGACGACAACGACGAGGGAGGAGGAAGGACGGCGACGACGCGAACGACGAAGAAGGAGGAAGGACGGCGATGCCGACGACGACAACGACGAGGGAGGCAGGAAGACGACGACGACGACAACGACGACGACGACGACGGCGACGAAACGACGGACGACGACGACGACGACGACGAGGGAGGAGGAGGAAGGACGACCACGGCGACAACGACGACGGAAACGACCACGACGCCAAAGAGGACGACGACGACGAACACGAGGAAAGACAGAGGACGACGCAGGCGACGACGACGACGACGCGGGAGGAGGGAGGACGGCGACGACGACGACGACGACGACGACGACACAAGAGCGCGCGCGCACGCTTTTATTGAAAACCCGTGTTGCGAAACCTTGTGTATTTATATGTTTTTTGGACGCACGATGTTAAAATCCGTCCGAAGCCGATGGGTTGTGAAGGATTTCGGCATACGCGCGCGACGACGTGCGCGTCTGCACTTCGTCTTTTTTTTTGCATAGGATTCTCGCGACGGCGCACGCGCGAGGGAGTTCGACAGATTTCGACATGCGCTCGCGCGAAGCCCGTTTGGTAGCATTTTGTGAAGATCTTGAAAGACCCATGGTTTTCTTAAGATTTCACAGAAGCTCGCGCGTAAGCTTTCTTAGCAAATCAGTGTTGCGAAACCCTGTGTTTTTTCTATGTTTTTCTGGAAATTCGACTGCGAAATCCTTCCGACACCGAAGGTTTTTGAAGGATTCTGGCATGCGCACGCGACGGCGCGCGCGTGTGCACTTCGTCCCATCTGTTGCAAAGGATTCGTGAAAAAAACTGTTATGCTAGAGCAAAAGATATCCCCGCGTATCGTTTTTTTACCAGGGAACCTCAGGGGGTCGATACCGGCCCCCCGGGGATAGTGCAAATTCATATTTCGGATGGACATGTGGTCAGAATCATATATGATTTACATACCCGAAAGGGGTACGGATAACGCCGGGGGGAAGGGGGGTAGAGTCTACTTTCTTTTTACAAAGGAGTGTGTATATATATCTATATATATATATGTGGTACACCATGCGTGGGGCCACCCACATGTTGCAATTCACCCTGTCGAATTTGAAATTACCAACCCAACTGTTCGCGCAATCGCCCCACCCACCCATCCGCAGCTTGGTTTGTAAAGCCCGTGATGCTGCAATTGTGATGCCTGCCTGGCGCTGGCTGGCGCATCTCTGCGGCCGCGCTTGCGCGCGCAGGCTCGCGCGCTAAGCGGCCAGCTAATGTGGCGCGACCGACACGGCCGCAGTGGCGCTGACCGCTGGGCACTTCCAACGTGCCTCGCAGGCCGCGTTGACGGGCGAGCACTTCAGTGCGAGTCGGTGACTTGGGCGGGCGCGGTAGCATGGCGATGTTGACAACGGCAGACACGATGATGCTTGTAGCGATGCTGGTGACGGCGATGACGATGACACGATGATGATAGGCGATGCCAATGACGGCGCTGATATTGACCACACCGATGACGATTACGGTGTCCACGTGTCGGTGATGAAGGTGTTGGAAGGGTTCCGACATGCGCGCGCGGCCGACCCGCGCGAGTGGCCCACATGGTGTTATCTGACATAGACTGTGCCCCCCACCCCCCACCCCCCAGCACGCGCGCAAGGGCGTTCGAGTGATTTCGACATGCGCGCGCGAGAGGCCCCTTCGATTACATGTGATGAACATGTGGGCAATATGTGGATGTGTTAAGAATTCGCAAGAGCGCACGCGCAGACCATTTTTTGAGCACGCAAAGCAAACGCGTTGCCGAGACGTGTCTGTTCTATACACTTCGGGACACTCGATTGGGACATCCCTACGGAGCCTACGGTTATTGAATAATGTCTGCATGCGCGCGTGTACACTGCGCCACATTGGTTGCAACGGATGTGATAAACGAGTGTGCGCGCATAGTGTGCTCTGCAAGGAATGAATGGGGGTGTCGATAATGGTTTGGATGGGGCACTAGGAATTCATAGATCCAATGCCAGATGGGGCAAGTTCGCAAGACAATTGCACATCCCCAAGGCGTATCGACAATCCTGCGGGAGTGGGGTGATCATAACTCTGTTTATAGAACAAATACGGTGTGCTATGTATGCAATGAAGTCCCCGTTTCGCGACATACGTGGTGCAATCAGTGTAGTGCAGAATATGGTGTGCAATACATGTGGTGCAACCTGCTTGGGTCATCTATAGTGCGCGACCTATGTCGTGCAACATGTGTGGAGCAATCTATGCGGTGAAATCTGTTCAGTGCCATCTATGTCCGTCTTGAAGCTGTCCTCTCCACTGCTCGTGCAAACATCCCACCCTCCCACCCGCAACGTGGTCGCAAGACCTCTTAAGACAAGACCGTGACGGTACGTACCACATGACACTTGGCCAAGACACCGACGCCGACGACGACAGCGACAACGACGACGACGGCGCCGCCGACACCGACTACGACGACAACGACGACGTCTCCAACGACTTCGACGACGACAACGACGACACCGACGACGACGACGACGTCAACGACGACACCGACGACGACGACGACGACGACGGCGACTACGACGACACCGCCGAAGTCTCCGACGACTTCGACGACGACAACGACGCCGACGCCGACGACGACGAAGACGACGACGACGTCGCCGACGAAGACGACCACGAGGGAGGAGGGAGGACGACGACGGCGACAACGACGACAACGACGACAGCGACGAGGGAGGAGGGAGGACGGCGACGACGCGAACGACGAAGAAGGAGGAAGGACGGCGGCGCCGACGACGACAACGACGAGGGAGGAGGGAAGACGACGACGACAACGGCGACGACGACGACAGCGACGAAATAGGAGGGACGACGAGACGCCGACGACGGACGACGACGACGACGACGAGGGAGGAGGAGGAAGGACGACCACGGCAACAACGACGACGGAAACGACCACGACGCCAAAGAGGAGGACGACGACGAACACGAGGAAAGACAGAGGACGACGTAGGCGACGACGACGACGACGCGGGAGGAGGGAGGACGGCGACGACGACGACGACGACGCAAAAGCGCGCGCGCACGCTTTTGTTGAAAATCCGTTTGGACACACGATTTTGAAATCCTTCCGAAACCGATGGGTTTTGAAGGTTTTCGGCATACGCGCGCGACGACGCGCGCGTCTGCACTTCGTCCCATTGCTTGCAGAGGATTCTCGCGACGGCACACGCGCAAGGGCGTTCGACAGATTTCGACAGGCGCGCGCTCGAAGCCCGTTTAATAGCATTTTGTGAAGATCTTGAAAAACCTATGGTTTTCTTAAGATTTCGCAAGAGCTCGCGCGGAAGCTTTTTTAGCAAATCAGTGTTGCGAACCCCCGTATTTTTGTATGTTGTTTGGAAGCTCGATTGCGAAATCCTTCCAGCACCGAAGGTTTTTGAAGGATTTCGGCATGCGCGCGCGACGACGCGCGCGTGTGCACTTCGTCCAATTTTTTGCAAGGGATCCGCGAAAAAGTGCTATGTTAGAACCAAAAATGTCACCGCATAGTGTTTTTTCCAAGGGACCCTCAGGGGGGGGGGTACTGGCCCCCCTGGGATAGTGTAAATTCATATTTCGGATGGGCATCTGGTCAGAATCATATATGATTTACATACCCGAAAGGAGTAGCGATAACGCTGGGGGGGGGATAGATCCTATTCTGTTTTTAGAAAGGAGAATCTATGTGGTCAATCTATGCTCTGTAACCTATATGGTGGCGATGTCGGGTGGTGACGAGCGGCGACGAGGCGGCGACAAGGCGGCGACGGCGGCAATATAGCCACCAGACCGACGCACAGCTCCAGACGCCAGGCGGCGACGAGGCGGAGACGGTGCGGAAACGGGGACAAGATAGCCGCGGCGACGGGGACAACATAGCCGCCTGACCGACGCACAGCCCCAGACATCGAGCGGCGACGAGGCGGCGACGGCGACAACATAGCCGCCAGACCGACGCACAGGCCCAGTTCCTCAGACAAAAAAAAAAGAACCCATAAGTGCAAGCACTGTTTGGGGAGCATGCCAAGCAATGCAAAGCAGCGCAAAGACATGCCATGCAAAGCAAGGCAAAGCAACACAACGCAAGGCAAAGCAACGAAATGCAAAACACTGAAATGCCAAGTATTAAATTGCAAGGCAAAGCAAAGCATGCCAAGCAACGCAATGTATGGCAATGCAAGCAAAGGCAAAGCAAAGCATTGCAAAGAAAAGCAATGCAAAGCAGGACAAAGCAAAGCTCTGCAATGCCAAGCCATGCGAAGCAACGCAAAGCAATGCCAAAAAATGCAAAGCAATGCTAATAAAGGCAAAGCTATAGATGGTGCAATCTCACGGCGGCGACGAGCGGCGACGGGGCGGCGACGGGGACAACATAGCCGCCAGACCGCCTGACCGACGCACAGCCCCAAACGTCGGGCGGCGACGAGGCGATGAAGGGGCGGCGACGGCGACCACGTCGCCGCCAGACCGACGCACTGGTCAGGAAACGCTGGCCCAGCTGCTCGGGAGGAGACGTGCTGGTTATACGCACGACCGCATACTCGAACCCCATGTGTAGAGGCCTCCTAGATGGGGGGGTCGGAGTAGATGGGGTTGGAGGATCGCGCCGCATCGCCGATACAACGGCGATGCCTCGGCGATGCATCGGCGATGCACCGGGGATGCATCGGCGACGTCGGCGATGCATCGGCGCCGTCGGCGTGGAGAAAACCGGGCTCCACATCGAGCCGCATCGTCGATGCATCGGCGATGCGGCGCGATCCTCCGACCCCACCTACTCCGACCCCATCCAGGAGGCCTGGAGTGTGGGAGGCCTGGATCCAGGGCAGGGGGTGGAGGTGCATTCGCCGAGGCCGCCCGCGGCAACCTGCACGAGGCGAGGACGGGCGAGCGAACGGCCGGCGCCCTCGTCAGCTGCTCGGCGTCGGCGCCGGGGACCCCACCGCCCCAGGCGCGGGCGCCGGAGCCTGGGCCCGAGGGGAGGCGGGGCCTCGGGAAACGGACCCTATAAGGGGCCCACGGGGGCTCCCCGGAGTACCGATGGTGTGCTGCCAGAGGTGGCCTCTGGGGGCCCTCGCCGAGCCCCGGGACCGTCCAAGGACCGCTCGGGGTGAGAAGGCGGCCCCCGGGAGGGGGCACCACTTTGGGGAACCAAAAGTATGGGAGGGAAGAGAGGTGCACTTCTCGGGCCCCAAAGGCCCCAGTTGGACCTCGAAGGGCCCCTCTGGGGGACTTGAAGGCCCCTTGTCTGCAACCCTCGCTGCCCCGCCGTTTTCCCTGAGATCCGGCGCAGCGAGAAATTGCAACATCGAAACGAAAGCACACCTGAAGCCCTAGACACCATCTTTCTGCGCCATCATTCGTGCCGGATCGATCTGTGAGGGCCCCAGGGCCCGAAAAATAGCGAAAAAGCCCGGCTCGAAAAAATTTAGACGCCAGGATCTCAGGATTATCGCCCCCCCGCGACGCGACGCCCAACGCGACGCCCAACGGGAGCTGGCCCGACCTCTGGGCGACCACGCTGCAAGAGAGTCACGCTGGTCGGAGGCCTGGGCCTCTCCACCGCCGGCCCTTGCGACCCGAGCCGTCTCTTGGGGCCCCGACGAAGGCCAGGGGAGGCTGAACCAAAAGAGGGAGAATTAGCCTGACGAAGGACCAAACCATATGCAGATGCGAGTACCGCAGTGAGGGTACCGCTTTCGGTGGAGCTCCCATATGGGGCCACGAACCGTGTGAGGGGTGTGCCGAATTGGGTGCGGCGGTGCCATGCGAACCCCACCACTGGAGCCTTCGATGGAGCTTCCTATGGGGCCACGAGACGTGTGAGGAATACCGAATTGGGCGCGGTGGTGCCATGCGAAACCTCCTGCTGGAACCGTCGGTGGAGCTCCCTTATGGGGCAACGAACCGCGCGAGGGGCGTGCCGAATTGGGCGAGGTATTTTCGTGCGAACCCTCCCAGTGGAGCCTTCGGTGGAGATCCCCATCGGCATTGGGCCACGAACCGTGTGAGGGGTGTGCCGAAATGTGCGCGGTGGTGCCATGCGAACCCTCCCGTTGGAGCCGTCGGTGGAGCTCCCTTTGGGGCCACGAACCGTGTGAGGGGTGCGCCGACTTGGGCGCGGTGGTGCCATGCGAACTGTACCACTGGAGCCAGGGCGTGCCGGATTGGATGCGGTGGTGCCATGCAAACCCTCCCGCTGGAGCCTTCGGTGGAGCTCCCTATGGGGCCACGAAACGTGTGAAGGGTGTGTCAAATTGGGCACGGTGGTGCCATGCGAACTGTACCACTGGGGCCTTCAATGGAGCTCCCTATGGGGCCACGAACCGTGTGAGGGTGCGCCGACTTGAGCACGGTGGTGCCATGCGAACTGTACCACTGGAGCCAGGGCGTGCCGGATTGGAAGCGGTGGTGCCATGCGAACCTTCCCACTGGAGCCTTCGGTGGAGCTCCCTATGGGACCTGGGACCCCAAAACGTGTGAGGGGTGTGCCGAATTGGGCGCGGTGGTGCCATGTGAACCTTCCCAATGAGGCCTTCGCTGGAGCTCCCTATGGGGCCAGGAAACGTGTGAGGGATGCACCGAAATGGTGGACATGCGGAGGGCAGAGGCACGGATGGGAGGAGGGATGAGGGAGGAGGCGGGAGGAGAACGCAGGGCGCTGTCTCTTCAAAACCAGGACCCAACACCACAGGATGGGTGTTCAAAAACAGGGGGGGGGGGGGGGGCCGAAGGCATGTCCTAGCGGGTGCGCGTGTAGAATTACGTACGTGTCCCAATGGGTGCGTGCGAGGCACGCCACCAGAGGGTGTGCGCACGTGCACACGTGTCCCAGTGGGTGCGTGCCGAAAGCACGTCCCAGAGGGTGCGTGTGTAGAATTGCGTACGTGTCCAAGTGGGCGCGTGCGGGACACGTCCCGCAGGGCCTTCGGTGGAGCTCCCTGTGGGGCCACGAAGCGTGTGAGGGGTGTGCCGAAATGAGTGGCGGGGACGCATGTAAACCGCACCACTGCGGCCTTCGGTGGAGCTTCCTATGGGGCCACGAAGCGTGTGAGGGGTGTGCCGAAATGGATGGCGGTGACGCATATAGACTGTGCCACTGGAGCCTTCGGTGGAGCTCCCTATGGCGCCACGAAACGTGCGTGGGGGTGTGCCGAAATGGGTGGCGGGGACGCACGTGAGCTATGCCACTGGGGCCTTCAGCTCCCTATGGGGCCACGAACCGTGTGAGGGGTGTGCCAAAATTGGTGCGGTAATGGCGGCGACGATGATGACGATGATGGTGATGATGACAGCGATCCTGGTGGTGATGATAATGACGATAAGGACATGCGGAGCACAGAGGGCAGAGGCAGGGATGGGAGGAGGGAGGAGGAGGAGGAGGAGGAGGAGGAAGAGGAGGAGGAGGAGGAGGAGAACGCGGGGCGCTGTCTCTTCAAAACGAGACCCCAACACCACATAATGGTTTGGGGGGAAACAGTGAAAGCAGAACGCAACAGAACACAGTCAACCCGTAAACTAAGGAAGCAGGATAAGGACGCCAGGACCTTGAAGGCCATGTCGGCACTCTGCGAGCGGGGCGCGGCCAGAGAGGGTGGCCAAGGATGGATGCAAGGGTAACCTTGGAAAGTTGCTCACCCTTACTATGCGGGCTGACTGTAAACTGCTCCGCCATCGAGGAGGAGGAGGAGGAGGAGGAGGAGGAGGAGGAGGAGGAGAGGGAGGGGGAGGAAGAGCAGAGGAAGGAGGAGGAGGAGGTGGAGGAGGAGGAGGAGGAGGAGGAGAGGAAGGAGGAGGAGGAGGAGGAGGAGAAAGAGGAGGAGGAGGAGGAGGAGGAGGAGGAGGAGGAGGAGGAGGAGGAGAGCCTCCAGGGCCCCTCTCCTCCACAGGACCACTCTTTTGCAAGGCGAGAATTTCACCACAAATCACCGCCCCAAAACGTCGACACACAGAGGTCTCGACCCATTCCCCAGGACCAATTTTTCATCTGGAGTTTTTGTTTTACTGTCCTGGGGCCCCGTCAGGGCCCCCGGAAGCCGAAGTGATTCCTGCATGACCCGAAGGAGTCTGCGCAGGCGGTGGACACAGGTATACTTGGCCTCCCAAGGGCCCGAACATGTCCAGATCCACTGCCTGCCGAGGCCCTACGAAGTTTTAACCCCTCGGACAAAGGGAGCCTCGTCGGGACTCGGCGCGAGCAGCTCGCCTTGGCGGCGCCCACAAGCGGGCAGCGCACGAGCGGTGGGGCTTCCAAGAGGGCGGGTGGCCTCTCTGCAGGCGGGTGGCCTCTCCGCAGCAGGGCCCGGCCGCTTCCAAGAAGGCTCCCCGAGCAGGCAGGAGGGCCTCCGAGAGGACCCGCCCCGCCCCCTCGCAAGCCCGCCCCCGCTCCCCTGGAGGGCCCCCCCCGGAGGAGGCGACGACGGGGGGCGGACCGCCCAGGGGCGGGCACCACGCTCCTTCGCCCGGGAGCCTCCCCGCAGACGAGGGCCATCGGCGCCCCAGGGTGCGGTCGGACCCGGGGCAGAAGAGCGTCCTTCAAGAGTATGGGACCCTCCGCCGGCCCAACGGAAGAACACTCGGTGGGTACCCTCCCCCAGGATGCACGAGAACAAACAGCACGGAGAGCACATCAGGGCACTCTCCCCGAACCGACCTCGATCTTGTACCTCGGTCCGACCGTTCGTGCATGGCTCCCCCCTCGGCTACTCGCCCCCCTCGTGGCCTCAAGAGCGACCCCAGGAGGCGAGTGGCCTCTTGTGCGCGGCTTTGGGGGGGGGGGGGGGGGGGGGGCGCCGCGCGAGGGAGCCGGTGCTAGGGGGGCACCCCTGTGGGCCCGCACGGGAGGTCACTCTGGCGAAGGGTCCCTCCGACGTGCCGCCAACCCATTGCAGGCGCCACCAGTCGCCCGCCCCCAGCGTCGGCGGCGGAGTCTCGGGCGCGGCGGGCACGGGCACCGCGACCTCGCCCACCGCGGCGGGGCTCCTGCCGGCCGCGCACGTGCACGGCCTGCTGATCGCTTCGTGCGTCGACGGCGGCGGCGGCGGCGGCGGCAGCGACGGCCAGGGCCAGGGCGAGGGCGAGGGCGAGGACGAGGGCGGCGGCGCCGACGGCGAAGGGGGCGACGGCGACGGCGGTGGCGACGATTCTAGCAGCCCGCGTGCGCGAGGTTGGCCTCTCCGGCGCCCCCCGAGATGAGGGAGAACATGAGGTGGGGGACTGGCCCAGGGAGGGCATCATCGACCTGGAATAGGCGACCCGTCGCCGACATAGATCGGCGATGGGCCCCCGGTTGCAAAACCGCACGCGCCTGGGTGGGGTGGGCTATCGGGCCCCCATCGCCGATGAATGGACAACTGGAGGTCGAAAACTGCCGAAAACGTCAGCCACTTTCTGGTCATAACTCGGGTCTCTCGCAGCAAGTCGGCACGATCTGGGCAACCCTGGAACGCCCTCGGCGAGGCGCAGCTGCTGAAGCGCATCCCGATGCAGGAAAACCTCGAGGAACCGACGAAAACATCCAAAAACCTCCCTGAGCCTATCCACCCTCCGCCTATCACCCCTTTGAAATTGCCCCCGAAACGGTCACTCCAGCGGATTTTGGACGCCCGGAATGGGTACGGAAAAAATGGGCAGGATGCCCAACAGTACGTGTTGTCCAAAACCGGCAGCGGCCACTGTTGGGCAGGCGACCTGCTGTCTCACATGGCCAACGTCCGCGGCGGCACCGACAGCGAGCCCTGTCTAAAATGGACAAGAAATGCCGTCGGCGGGTGTATACATAACTTGGCATGAAGCAAGCGGGTCCTGAAGGAAACGGGTCCTGGACCTTCCCCCGGGACGAGATCTTCATCCTGAGTTGTTCCCGATCGTCCAGCGCGGAAGGAAGGCCGCTCGTTTGCGTGCCGCCGGCTCCTGCAGCCGCAGATCATGTCGCCGGTGCTCGCGGTCAGCGCGCTCAGGTCGTCCCCGCAGGCCGCCTCGCTGGAGACCTCGCGGTGGCCGCCGCCGCCGCCGACAACGACAACGACGACGACGACGACGACGACGACGACGACCAAGGGGCTCTTCTGGCTACAGCGGGCCTCTGCCTCGAATACTTAGGCTGCCCGAACTGGATCTGAGGTCTAAGGAAGGGCCCGGAAGCTGGAGCCAGACCTGAGCCCGGTGGTCCATACTGCATCGCTCTGACTCCTCCTCCTCCTCCTCCTCCTCCTCCTCCTCCTCCTCCTCCTCCTCCTCAAGAGTTGGTGCAGCGTCTTCATCACGAAGTTGCCGAACCAGCCCCTACCGTGCCGCCTCCGTCCTCCTCGCTGGCCGTGGAAGATATTTTGGCAGGCAAGGAAATTCCATCACCTTCGATTCTCTGGTGGCCGACAACAGCGATTACGAACTTTCTGAAAGTGAAAAGAAGGAGCTGGCGGACAGGACTACCGCTCTGCAGGTGCAGCTTCGCGAGGCTGTTACCAAAATGTTCGGGTCTGCGGCCGAGAACCTCGAGAAGTTCAAGGCGGAGCAGAAGGCACAACCTCGAGCGCCTATCTGCGAAAAAACAGCGGGTCGAGGCAGACGCTCCAGAAGCGGCGCCTGACGGTGCAGCCAGCGGCCCAGCGGCAGCTCCTGCCTTCGGGGGCGGCTGACGCTTCTGCTTCTGCTTCAGCGGCTGAGGCCTCTGACGTCCGTGCCCGGGCAACCAAGATTTTGCAGCCCTCTCCAGGAGCGGCAGGAGGGGGAGGCGGAGAGGCTTCTGTTTAGCCCGTGGCTTTTCTCTGACCTCCATTTCCTCTCTTCTCCTTCCTTTCCCTCCGCTCCTCCTGATTTGAGCCGGGATGGCTGTTTCAAGTTTGGCGGATTTTTGCCCGTCGGGAGCTCTGTCCTATTCGTGTCCGGGCCTGGTGTGGCACCCACACGTGCATACCCGTCGGATTTGCAGCCTGCTGCACCACAGCCTGACTCTCACTTTCTTCGTTCTCGTTTTTCGCTCCAGGGGTAATTCTTTAATATTCTTTAGGGTGCTTCGACACACTCTTGCTAGAGCCAAGGGGGCCTTGCGTGTGTGTGTTTCTCCGAGCCCTTTTAAATCGCCCTTGCGATGCCCATCGGCGCCTGTGGAAACAGCTAACACACAGGCGTCGGACTCGACAATTCCTTTGACCAGGCCTATAGATGTGTTTTCTTTTCCCACGGACAGTTTTTGTCCCATCATCGAGACCTGTAACGTTTCGGGGTGGGGGTCTGGCCAGTCTTGGTTGGAGCGCACGGCGGCTCACGTCGTTTTGTTTCAGGAACATAAGCAGTGGGAGTCTCATATTGCGTCGGCATCGAGCTGGGCCACGAGGCACGGCTGGAAGTCGCTCTGGTCGGCAGCTGTTGCAGGTCCCGGCGGAGGCCCCTCTGGGGGTGTCGCAGTGCTCGTGCGCAGCGGTTTTGGACTCCGAGCTCTGGATTCTGGACATCCTGGCGCGGGACCGTTGCTCATGGTTTCCGCCTACTTCCACGATTGCGAGGACCTCTCGGATCGAAATGTGTCTCTCCTTGCCACTTGCTGCTCCCTTGGGAAATCGGTGGGCTTGCAGTTTTTTGTGGGGGGCGATTTTAACATGGAACCGTGCATGGTTCTCGGGTCTGGGGTCCAGGACGTTGGCAGGCGTTCCCTTTTGGCCACTGGGGAGCACACGTGTAGATCAACGTCTGGTCTCAAACAGTACGATTTCTTTCTTTCGAGTTCGGGGTTGGCCAAGGGTGTCGCTACGGTGTCGCTACGGTGAGAGATTCCAATTTGTCGCCCCGCTGCCCCGTGAGAGTGACCCTCCACCCGCAAGTTGGTAGGCTGAAATCGTTGGCTTTTCGGGCGCCTCCGCCGCTCCCCGTGCACCCGTTACCGCCTGCCTGTGCTCTCGACCCCGTCTCGCCGTCCAAGCATCTTCCGAGCCTGCCGGATGCGTGTCGGGCCTCCCTTGCCGGGCTCGATTTTGAAGGTGCTCAGATTAAGTTGGACAAAGCTTACAAGATGTGGGCTACTGTTGCGGAGAAAAGAAGTGGCGTCGGCCACTGGGGCGCGTCTTCCGTATTGGGGGGCCAGGGGTAAACCACCCGCTCTGATGTGGAAGCCAATCATTCCCCCCTCCTCCAGCGTCCCGTGTTCGGAATTGCTCGCATGTAGGTGGCTTGGTAGCCTCTACGGGGACTTCTTAGGACATTGGCAGGCGTCGGATGAGAAGGGGATCCGCAGGGTGATGTGCGTACTCCAGCGGCCACCGCCCCAGATGGCTTCCGCCTTGGGCGCCCAGCATTTTTATCTCGATCAGGTCGAAGCTTTCATCCTCGACCTCCCTATGTACGAGGAGGCTGCCGGTCCGTGGTTCGATCATTTCTCTGCCCTGCACGCTCGCTTCTGTGCGGCGCTCGGTGTCGTCGAGGGCCAGGCGAGGAAGGTGGGGGCTACTAAGGAGTTTCGGGATTGGATTTTATAAAGGTCTCATCGCGGGGCCCGGAGGGTTCACATGGTTGCCAAAGGAGCCACCAAATGGGCCCCGAGCACGACCTTGGCGCTGGATAAGGAAATTGTGTGCGATCCTCTGTCCCTGTTGCAGGCGGAAAGCCGGAAGTTCGCTTGTTTATGGGGGGACGGTCGTACGCAGGATTGGTTCTTGCACGATGTCGTGCAAGATGAGCTTCCGCCCGTGCCTATTGCTGCTGTCAGGGCCTTTTCTAAAGGGTTCAAGGAATATACTTCGGTGGCCACGGACGGATTTCACATGCGCCATTTCAATCTGATGAGTGACCTCACCCTTGAAGGCTTGATTCGGATTTTTGGTATCATGGAAGCCTCCTCGTTGATCCCTCAACAGTGTGCTATTGTGCTTCTCACCCTGATCCCTAAGGCTACGGTGGGATTCCGACCGATCGGCACGTTCTGCGCGTTGTATAGGGCTTGCGGCCGTGTCCGCCGTCCACTGTGCCAGCAGTGGGAGCACGATAACGCTCGTGCGTTTTTTGCGGCTGGGCCCATCGAGGGGGCCCAAGACGTTGTTTGGCGCCAGTCTGTTCGTGCCGAGCCCAGCGTCCACGCTAAAGGTGAGGCTGCCACGGTGTTGCTCGACCTCTACACATATTATGAGACGATTGATCTCCGCAAGCTTTTGCATCGTTGCAAACAGGTGGGCTTCCCGATGGCTCTGGCGAGAGTCGCTGTTTGCATGTATCTCTAGAGTCGCTGGTTCAGGCTCGCTGGTTTCGTGGATGGCCCCTTTTGGGCGGATCGGGGCATTGTGGCGGGATGCAGTTTCGCCACGACCTTGATAAGGGTCTACGTCGACCTTGATAAGGGTCTACGTCTACCTTTCGCCACGCCTCGACCGTCTCACTCTTCCGCCGCAGGTCCACGTCAAGCTGTACATCGATGATTCTGGATTGTCGTGTACAGGATCTTCCGAGTACATTCTCACGCACCTCCGTCTGACTCTGGTGGGCCTCCACAGGGCTCACGGAGGAGGTGGGCGCGATTGTCTCGGATGATCCTCCTGACAAGAGGTCGCGCGATTTGTTCGTCGCGCCTCTCGGGTCAGCGATTGGGCTGCCGCCTCGGAGGCTTAGCAGGCCCTTTGGTTTCCAGCGCTGCCAACTCAGGCGTCGACGATGCTGCCGGCAAGCCGCGCCGCCGACACGGTAGATCAGCGAAGGCGAAATCCAGGGAGATCAAATCCAAGGGGCTTTGCTCCAGGTTGCCCCGCTTAAGGCCCACGGTGGGCGGCCGCGTTGCTCGGAAGGTTTTTGCTTCCGGGGCCATGGCGTCAAACCTTTTCGGGGCTGATATCCATGGGGTCACGGACCATGAGTTGCTCCAGTTTCGAGGGCAGGCAGCGTCGGTGCTGCAGCCGTCGGCTCGTGGCCGCAGCTTGACGGCCTTGCTTTTGGCCCACCAGGAGCCGTGTTGGCTCGCTGCGGTGGCCCCCAGCATCCGTTGGGCTAAAGAGGTGTGGGTTTCTCACTTCCATCTCCACCCCTACTCCATCCCCCTCACCGGGCTCCGGGAGGCGTGGGCCAGCAGTTTCGACGGCGAATCTCCGCTGTGGCGCAATGTTGGAGGACCAGTCGCTGCTCTGCGGAAGAGCTGCGAGCGCATCTCGTGGAGTATGCCGTCTTTTGCTGAATTTCTCACGGACCAGGGCCAAGTTGCGAAACTGACGGTGTTCTCCCCGGGCCTCGTCAAAACCCTCCTTGAGAAAGCGGTGCTTCGGGGTTTGGAGTGGGACCTGGGGCCTCGGTTCAACATGTCTTCGCGGGCGTGCGTGGACGGCATTTTTTTTTCTCTTCGGTCTAAGAAATTCACCCCGTTCCAGCAGGGATGTATTCGGGCCTTATTTTGCGATGCCATCTACACTCGTATTCGCGCGGTCACCTTAGGCTATGTGATTGGCGACCTGTGCGCCCTCTGTTTGGAGGCTCGGGACACGTTGAGGCACCGGCTGTGGGAGTGCACCGCGGTGGAAGCGGAACGCGCTGAGCTTGTCCAACCTGTTGTTCGCAGGCTCGCCGCCGAAGCCGGCGATGCTCTGGCATGTTACGGAATGTTTCCACATCCCGGGGACCAGTTTCCAGCCCCCGCATCTTCTGGGGGCATCGTAGTGGAGTGGGCTTCTGAACAGCAATGCGATTTATTCGAAGCGGTACAGGGAGACATCTTCGGGGATGGTTCATGCACGAGGAGGTTGGTGAAAGAGCTCAATCGGGCTGGCTGGGCCTTCACCGTCTGGGATCGTAGCACAGGTCACGAAGTGGTGAGAGTCCGTGGACCAGTTGGGGGCTCTGTTCCCCAGACCCCCCAGGCTGCAGAGCTTCACGCTTATAGCGCTGCGCTGCAGTGGTCTGTGGGGCCAACGAACCTTTTCCTAGATTGCCAGAGTTGTATCGATTTTCACTGTTTGCCTTTTTCTGCACACTGCTCACCGAAACGCATTTTTGCAGGGGCCGCCCAGTTCTGCACAGATTT